CTCACGGGGCTTGCCTGTTTTAATTGGGCGGACAAAAGAGGATCAGCGAGACTGTGGAAAATAATCATGTCACATTAAAAGCACTGACACAGGGCGACAAGGTCCCCTGACAAATGGCTCTATTCATGTGTTTGAGGTTTAGTTATTTATGAACTATATAAGTGATTGGACTGTCCAATTAGACATATATAAAGACTCAGAACTAATTTCATACCCCCAAAAATAAAAGCCTGAGCTGACTGACATCCAGCACTTCTGAGAAAAATTTCTTTTCCCTCAACCTCATGACATTTGGGCCGCTATTTAATGTTAAATGGCAAAACCAACTTTGTGACATTTTACACCGCTTTCTATGACATTTTTATGACTGGTTATAGGAGACTGGAATACAGCTGAGGGAAACATTTTTCCTGTTTTGTGTTTTGGGCTCTTATATAAAAATTTTGTGGGAGAAGTTACAGTACATAATGCACAAAAAGGAAGGATAGGAAGGGAAATATATGGTGTTACTTGACGGATGTCGGAGAGAGATGGTGAGACTCGCTGGAAACTAGGAGTTCAGTCATGGAGACACGGCCGACTGACTCATCATGAAAGTGGCATCCCAGCAAAGCAAAACTGCTTCTGTGTCTATAGTCTCCACCAGATGCAATTTCAACATGCTGTTCGGCTGTGCTGTGGTTAAGTCAGCCGGTTAACACGGCTCTGCTCATATCCCTGGTATTTACAGTCCTGACGGAAAACCCAGTCCTCCCGACACCTGAAGACCTTCCTACTGTCTCAGGTAGACTCCTCTTTCTGAGTACAGGAATACACGCCTGACATTACGGATTTTATCACAATGCATCCATGGAAACCACTATGCAGACCCAGAGTGCTCGACCAGTCACTGTACGCTAAGCTGAGAATTTATTGACATACCCTCTTATATGTCTCAGACACATCATCCATGTAAAAAATTCAACTTCACAGACACTAATATACGTAAAACTTAATTCTGGAACTCGGGCTGGATTATAAAACCAAATTTCAGAGGTGGAAGTTTCAAGTCCATAAAGTAAGAATCCAGACCATGATTTTGCTTCAACCAATCCACTGAGTACCCAGTAACTGTGATTCTTTATGCTCATCTGGCTGGTTGAAAATAAATCATGGTCTGGATTTTTTACTTCCTACCTCTGCCATATCAGAAGTGCTGATATTCTGAACCAGTCCTAATTTGTTATCTAGTGATAGCTTTAGGAGCAGGGATGTCCTGTGTAGAGACTGACACTTTACAAACTCAGTACAGACTGATAATACTCCAGTAATGTAAATGCACAGTACAATTAACACGATAGAGGACATTGCTTTTGTGCATTAATACCTAGGAATGCCAACTCGCTCCATTCAGTCAGTGACATGAAACATGTAACTTTGCACATTGTTCTACCATATTACTCTGCCATATTACCTATTATCTAAATATTTACTTATTTAATGTATTTATACTTCATTTACCCATATTTTATATTTCTGTCATTTTTTCTATTTATTTCATATCTATTTCATAATTACATTCCTCTGCAAATCGACTTCAGACCTTGGTTTACAAGGGTGACAAAGGGTGTGCAAGACCCTCACATTAATACTGTGGTCCCTCAAGTGGAAACCAATCAGTCCATGACCGTATGGTTGTGGGGATTGCGATGTTTTCTTCCGGAGCCGGCACTTGTTAATTGTGCCGTTTTCTGATCGCCTGTGTTTCGTGCTCCCGAATCCCGTTACACGTTACTGACTGAATGGCACAAGTAGGAATTCCTACGTATTAATGTTCAAATAAGATTCTAGAATGTGGAATCTTGAAACAGTGGAGAAACGTGCCGTGACGGAGTCGGCACCCCTCACTCCTATCGATAAGCGGCTCTCGTTGAATGATGTCGCTTGTGCTGTATCTAAGTAACTGCGGGCATCTCTCTTCGCTGGTCAGCGTATTGACAGAGGTTCTCCAGGCGATTTCCCAAACGAGTTATAAATCAAGGCCTGACTAATGAGATGGTAGGAGGCTGGCTGAGTCAGGGCAGCAGTAATGAAACACAAATACCAAGCAAGCGGAGTCTCTCCCACACAGCAAAAATACGGCTCTGGGAGGGAGAGAGAGAGAGAGAGATTTATCCTCACCTCTGTCATACCTCAAATACTTACTTCAAGGGGGGGGGGGAGTACGATTGTGGCCCAAAAGTTTCGGAAAATACCCAAGTGCTACGATCAAACGTTTAGTAAAGCGACGGAACCGGCGTTTTGATCCAGATTTATGAAGAATGCCAAGAGGATAGCTGGGATATTTTTATTCCTGGCTGACCTGCGGCACGGAGAGTGGCTAGTGGGCTAGTTCCTTTCAAGAAGTTCCCGGAGCGGACCAACGCAGTTATCGTGCGGCCGTCAGCTTCAGCTCCCCTCTCCTCACTTCTGCCTTCCTTGTCAGCTGCAATTACCACTGTTGCTAGGAAATGGGTGACTTGACAACAGATGCTCTCGATGCTCATGGGGGGACCCCGCAGCACTGAAAGGGCCCGCAGGAGACAGCAGGAGCCGGCTGGGGCATCGAGACGTGAGGAATTTTGCCGATATCAGATCAGGTAGTTAGCGGGGGTGACAAATATCTAGCGAACGGCAGATTGAAAGCTGGATGGAATCTACCTGAGGCACTCTGACAAGCAGGCCTTCGGTGATGCGACGCTCAGGTGGAACCATTTGGTCCCTTTCGAGCAAAAAAAAATGCAGCATCATCCCAAGCTGGCAGGACCCCCACTGGTACAGCCTACTCTCACAGCTTGTGTCCAAGCCCCCAGCACCAGGTGCTGTATGCTCCATACCCCATACCTCCTTCTAAAGAATCCGTACGGCGTGGAGCCAGATTGCTGCTCCCATGTCACACAGCACATGTCAGCCTCTCTCTCTTTTCCTCCAGCTGCCTTTAGAATGATCGCTAACAAGAAATGGATTTTTCTTGCAAGTTCACCCCAGAAATAAAGGGGGGGGGGGGGTCATTGAAATTCAGCTTTGGTTAGTATGATCCATGTTCTTATTACTATCTGTGACATAAAGTCACTGAGTTTGTGGCCACAGTCTATACAGCTTCTAAATTATTCATGGTAAAGTTTTAATCATTGCAAGCCATTTCGTTATGACAAGCTGCTCTTTTCCTTCCGTGGGAAATGCAATAAGCAACGTTAAACGCGTCACTATTCATAAACACGGGCAGATGAGAAGAGGAAAATTTTTAGCGGTTTTCACTTTTTCCTCAGATTCTCGGCAGGGAGACGTAGACCCCATGTCAGTGATAATCACGATCTGCACCAGACACCCCCCCCCAAACCTGGCATGTCCCCCAGTCCCCTGTCCCTATCTCACCATCGCAGCGACAGCAGGAACGCTGCGGTTTGCGCGAGAGCCTATGCATCTAATATCCCTGCAATGCTAACACCACGAATAAATTAACATTGAACTGATAGGTACGTCGGCAGCAGATACTGTAGGTTCTCGAGGCGTGGTCTGTTTGTGGTCTGTTTGTTCCCGGACGACAGACTGACTGATCTGCACCCACACACACGCGAGCACAAGCAGCATCTTGAAGACATCCTAGGACTTCATTTACGTCCTTGCTTGGCCTCTGTACACCGCACCTGCCTAATTTAATGGAGACCAGCTTAATTTCCAACTCGCTTGAGTTTTAATGGATGCACGGACACATATTTGCATAATTATTAGAACATGCACTCTACCCGTCATTAGTTGGTAAATAAGGTGCTGCCCACTGACGCGATGACCTTTAGCATTAACCGAGGAATGGAAACACGTGATTGATTTACTGGTTTGACCTTCTGGGGTTGAGTGGGGATCGTTTGACCTCACGGGGAGGCTTGTGTGTGATTAATGCGGACAGCACAGGACAAAGGCCTCCATAAATGAGAGGGAGGAAGTCTAAAGGAAGAGGCCACGCTGGGGTCAGCTCCTCTGTTCCTGAGGTAATGTAAACACAGGCAGGCTCTGCTGTCCTGCTGCTCCCAAAGCATGCTGGGAACCAGTGGTCTGGAAACCAGTTCATATGACATCAAAACCGGGTCCATCCAGACCCCAGAGATACCTCGAACTGCTCTCGCACTGCTGAAACTGTACGTCCAGGGGTGGATTTGTTGTTTTGGGGACCCCAATCAAAGACCCCACCAGGCCACTTTGATCCTCACCCCCACGATGCCCCCCGATCTGACCGTCCACCCCTTCCCCACCCAGACCGGTGCTGAGAAGCCCCCAGGAATGGGCTGTGAGGGGGTCTGTGTGATAATCGCAGGCCGCAGCAGGAGGATTTACATGCATTTCAGTGGGCGGCCTCCTCTCCCACACGGCACGCCCGCACGCCACGCGCCTGGCAGAGCTGCCAAGCAGCCCAGCCCACTGAACACACTCCAGCGTAGTGCTGTGGGCACACTGCGCTCGGCGCTACGGAGGAGAGCGAAATTTCTGGGGGCTGCAAAAGTACTGAATTGCAAATTAAGGCTTTTACAGCCTGGCTAATGTATTCTGTGAATTATTTTACTCCGTTATCCAAGAATGGGAGGATGAGATTTTACAAAGGGACTATTTTTGTTAAGCCTAAATGAAATACAGTTTTTATATGGACATCTGGAGAGGATGAGACCACCTCCTGCCAGCTCTAATACCTTTTATATTAATGAAACAGCTCCTTCTCTTACTGGGGACTTCTGTCGGTTTCAAGAGGAATCCATTCTTTGGAGGGAAGATTACACTCATTTCGTGAATAAAGGGCTGCAGGAGACCACTGTTGAAGTGCTTTAGCCGAAATGCATCCTCAAGCTTCTAGGCCAGGCCTGACCTTTAACCAACAAAATGAAAGCACACTTCCGGCGATCCGGTGACAAAAATCCAGCAGCTTTCCTGGCCGCTCGAAGGGGGAAGACGCCGGCTGTGGATGGGGGAGGCGGAATTTGCGGAGCACTCACCGGCACCTCCTGCAGGAGGTCGCCGAGCTGGGCGTGGCCGTGTTTCTGAGCGAGCTTCAGCGGCGTGTCCCCGTGTTGATTGGCGAGGTGAAGGGCCTGCTCGACCCCTGGGCACTGCAGAAGGACGCTGGCCAATCCGCGGAGCCCATTTTGGGCGGCAAAGTGTAGGAGGGTTGGGAGATGCTCTGAGTGTGTAGCTGTCAAAGAGATAAGAAAGGATGCTGTTGAATATATAAGTACAGATATTTATGAGGCATATGGGGGAGGGGACAATGGTGTTTTCTTTATTCAGGTGTTACAATTAAGTGAGCAGAATGTTCTGAACAAGTAATGTGGTTATTGTTGTATTAACTGTCTGCAGAACAGGATAATTGGTGAAAATCAAAAAGGCATATAGTAATCTTAGCGTTGCTAAGCTTGGCAGAGTCACAGGCGTTCTCATAAAGGCAGCAGTTTCACCTTGCTACAAAGTCACATTACCAGCACAAGGTAACTGACTGACCAATAGTGCGAAAGGATTTTAGCACGTTATGCTTGGGTGTCCAATCAGTTCTTTTCTTCTTCATTTTCTTCTTGATAGACTTTGACAGCAAAAACGTCATACACAACAATAACTGATGGTTTGTTACACTTAATTCCGGTATAAATACGTCTTCACAAGAACGAAGTGTTTTTAGAAGAAGTGCCAGGTGTACATTGGTAAGAACTGCTGGAGGGATCGGACGAGGATGGAGGTGAGACTCGTTTTGTTCTTAAATATAAAACCAGTATGAATTACTTTGATTGGTTGATTGGATTCTATTCATTTTGTAATATCCTTTCAGAATAATGTATGCTGCTATGAAGGTTTTCATTTAATGCATGTCATTATAATAACAGAAACTGAAAATGATAATGATATGAAAAAAATAATGGTGTTGCTCACTTTGACTAAAAATACTTCATGGATAAGAGGACGCACTGGATGACTAACAGGTACACTTCTGGGAAGTACTCAGTACGTTAAGCTCTCAGGAGACTGAATGAGCGCCACATCAGCGCACTGGGCATTCTGCTGATGATGTCATAAGTGGGGGACAAGTTGCCTTCTCCTCACCAAGCACCATAAATCCCAACTTCTGTTAGCCTTGGGTATGAAAGCTGTTTTTTAAGTGATAAAATTAAAAACTACCTTTAAATTACTTCACCAATTAATTATAATTAATTTATGGCATTTTGGGTCAAAAGACAACTGGAGGCTTCATAAGAGTGGACTATTTTACTATTTTATCGCATAAAGTCACCTTTGCACAGTTAAACCCCGTGTGTGATTCCGCAGTAGCAATTGCTTACGGCGTGTCACCGTTAAGGTGTCCCCAGAAGATAGAAAGCCTCTGTTTTTCTTCACTGAAGGCGATTTTCCTGGCAGAACTGGGGTTAAACTAGTGTGTAGCGTTTGTTCTTCTACATCGTTATTCTGGTGTTTTTTCCCCCTCAACAAACTGTTATTTTTCTGTTCTATTACTTGGACTTAGTGTGGAGGCAGTACGCATTATATATCGTATTTAATTTTGTCCAGTCGTGTCCCGGAGCAAGTTTAAATCCAGCTTCTTTTTCTTCTTTTTTCACATTTTTTTTTCTTTCAGCAACCAGCAGTAAATGATAGCCACTCGAACGCTTATTAATCATCAATCTAAAAAAAAAAAAAAAAAAAAAAGACCAGGCTTCCTGCCCCGAACGCACTAAAATATACGGTTACAGCTATCGATAAGTTTCTCTAATGTTAATTACAGCGAATGCATAATTAATTAAAACGATGATCATTAAATCCTGACAGATTAATAAGCGGTCACCGTAATGAGTTATTCAGTATAATTGATAAAAAGCTATTCTGATGGCAATGGAAAAACAATAAATAAAAAGACCACTTTGTTTATAAGTAAGTGGTGATATTGGTAGGGTTCAGAAGATCGCGTAGCAGTGAAAGTAATTTTGGGTTATGTGCTTTCTGCTTCAAGTTATACTTGCATATATAGAGACTAATAAGCTGGAACAGGACACACATAATCAGATATATATCCCCTCACCAGTTTAATTAGTGTAAAAATATTCGTAGTCCATTATTCAGAGAACAGTTATTAAATGCATCATTCAGCTGAAACCAAAGATCAAACATGTTTCCCAAGCATCTTGTTTTCATAGAACAACCACAATCTGTAACTTATAATGGGTTTTGGAGGACGTCCATTGTTCAATCTGTCTGTATTCTATATCTAAGGCAAGGTTGTGATGAGCTGGGAGTCCATTTCGGGACACAGAGTGCAACAAGGCAAAGGGACACCCAGGACAGGATGCCGGCGCACAGAAGGGCACGAACCGGGGACACAGCCGCCCACCGCGGGCCATTCAGCGGCCTGACCGAGGAAGCCACCACAGGTGCGGGAGGACTCGCAAGGCCCCGCAAAACGCACACAAAAATAACAGGAGATATTTGATAAAGGACATGGACGGCGACAAGGAGGCGGGAGATGTGGAGGAAATCGAAAGAATGAGAGTGAGCATGATCTCTGGCGGCTTCTCCTTTCTCCTCCTCTCTCAGGACCCGCAAGGTATGTCTAAAATATGGGCTCCCTGACACGCAGCTTAATTGCCCCAGTATGGCCTTCAGTAAACCGAGACCCCCGGCGTGAGCACTGTACGTTTAAAAGGCAAAGTCATTAGCAATGCATTACAGTGATTAATGAGCCATTTTTTTATGGGATCCGTCTCTGGGTTAATATTGCTGTTGCGCATTCATCACCCCACCCCTCCCCTCCCCCGCCATCCCCCCCAGGACCGAGGTCACGGCAGAACCCAGCAATCAGATATAAAGCCCTTTGCTTCTACTGAAAATGTGAGCCCCCCCACTTTTTAACTCAGTATTATTAAATCCTGCTCTGCTGCGGTGGGTAAGTAGACAGGCTTGTAGGTTATTGAGTCAGAGGAGGGACTTGACTCCAGTAAAGAGACCTGCCCATGTGAAATGGAAAATGTTAGGCTTTTTTGGCTAAACAATTAAATAATTATAACAAACTTAACATGAAATGTTACACTATAGACAAGGGTCTCCTAACTCCCCAGTCCGCTGAATGCTGGGGGTAGTTATCACCCCCCCTCATACAGTATATTACAGGATCTCCCTGTACTTTAAAGCAAAATGCCGGGTCCTAGATATATCCAAGAAAATGCGACATTTGCCTTGTATTTGTGTACACATTGCGTACCCCTGCTCAGTAAATTTTTCCGTGGGTGGTTACTGAAAATTTTGTACAACGTAAACCAGCCCACCAACATTAATGATTGAGGCCCCCAGCAGCAGACTATTTAAGTAAATCAATGCTTCAGGAAAATAAAACAGCATAATTTCAGTTATACAATGAAGCTGAAAGGGGATTTTCTGGTTTTTCCCTTTCCTTTAGTGTGTTATATAGCTTTATGTGCATATAAATGGTCTGCAATGTCTTAAGGCATCAAAGGGAGTAACTCTCACCACAGAAACCACTCTTCTCTAATCTGCCTGAAATGCCTCGTTGGAAGTCCAGTCCTTTCTTCTGTGACATGGTGAGGTCACCTCGGAACACAATGCCTATTGGCCGCCTGCCTGCAAGGATCTGTCTGGAGACTGCAGGACAGGGGCGGAACATGTAGGACAAGCTGACCAGTCGGGCAAGCTGACCAATAAGAGCACACTTGGCTCACTGGGGGCGGGACTTAATGCCTTAACAGAGCGTTTCATGCAAGTTATAGGCAGAGTGAGAAGAGATGTATGAGAAAAATAATATGTTTTTGGAACAGTGAGACATATAAATCTATTCTAGTTGCCCCCCAAAATAAGATTATGAATGGTGAAAATGAGCATAATAGGGCCCCTTGAATAGCAATGTCTAACACAGAATAAGGCATTTATGGGGCAGCATGGTGGCTCAGCTATCTGCACTGTTTCCTCCCACCTCCAGGAGCTTGTATCTTCTTCCAGAGTCATGTAGGCTTCCCCCGAAAACTCCCATTTCCTCCCGGAGTCCAAACACATGCACTTAGGTAAATTGACATCTCCTAATTGCCCATTGTGTGTGATAGTATGTGCATGTGAGTATGTATTTGCTCTGTGATGGACTGGCACCCCATCCAGGAATATTCCCCGTGACTCTAACCAGGAAAAGCAGCTCGAAGATGCACGGGGAAGGATATGTTAATCACACAAGACAAATTGCTTCTGTTCCATCTCTCGCATTATCTGAGGGTAAATAAGAGCCTCTTTCCTCGAGTGTTACTCAGTGACACAAAGACGGGAGTTCAAATTAGCAGAAATTCAAATGCTAACGGAGCTTCGTGGTACAGGGTGAGTCACACGTTTAGCGTTACTGTTAGCGGGGGGGGGGGGTTTGACGATGATGGTGGTTTCGGTGTAAGTTTTTCAGGCATTAACCGTTGCGTCCACTTCCCACGGGAAGTGGTGGGAAGTAAGGTGCCATTAGGGCTGCTCGTTAGTCCTTGTGGGAAGTTAGCGATGTCGCCTGCGTTCGTAAGTAAGAATACAGACCTTTTCTGGAACAAGGGCCTAAAAAAGCGAAGCGGCCTTTTCACCCCCGGCTGCGTAGGAGCTTTAATCTTTGTCATGGCAACTGCACTGGGGACACGGAGAATGTGGGCAAGGACAGCCCCCCCTCCTCCCGGGAAGAAGGTCGCTCGTTTCCTACCCTCTCTGCGGCCGCCGCTGGCGCTCTGCAGCCCCCGGAAGCCCCCCGCAGGTAACCGCCTGGTCAGCGAGGAGGTCAGGATCTGGTCCACCTTCTCCATGGAGGAAGTCTGGAAGGCCTGGGAGCCACAGATAAACGGTGAAGCCTGCCCTGCGGCATACGCAGGAACAGAAATCCGGCCGGGCCAACGGGCCGGACAGGAAGTGGGCCGCGTCTCCTGGTGAGAGCGTCTCGAACAATGTGGCCCCGAGGTGACTCGTGTTCACCAAGCCCGTGAGGGTCCACTCCCTCAGCAGACAATATAACTAACCATACTTCCTTTGGGAAAAAAACCTAAGCATACCAAAGACTTAATCACCTTCCTTTATCCTTATAGAACATGTGCATACAACCAATATTAAATAAACAAAATTCCACAATATAAGTAAATCTCCCTAAAAGTGACTGTATAACTTTATCGGTATTTCTAATATATGTAACGTAATTTTCTTATATTAATATATAATCCAACCATCCATCCATCTTCCAACTGCCAACATGGATGGATATATTCTGCTGTATTTTAAAATATTTTAATAGCAGAGTCAGTAATAAAGAATGGGAAGTTAAATTGTGGCTATAGTGTGTTTCACTTAAGGCAGGCTGATAAGTTAAGGCTAATGGCAAATTTTACGGGTTCTTACTGAATTACCTTTAATGGTTCCACTCTCTGGTCACATGACCAAGTGTATATTCAAATTAATGTTCAATGTGTGTGACTGTGGATTTTCATGCACACAGTAAGACTTGTTAAAGCGTCTACGCTGAAGTTAACTCGCACAGATGGCTGCACAAAGACAGAGGTTGTGGTTGACCCTGATCTTCTGGTTCAGACTGACGCAGCTGGCCTGGTGGGGTTGTGCAAAGACACCGTCTAGCTTGAGATATTGTGCAACATTCATTGGTGACGGATCCATAAGTCATTCCCCCCCTAGGTGCACCCCAACCCTGTGGCCCCTGCTACCCGGGATAGAGTCCAGGCCGAAGATAATTGATTTGAAGATGGATGGATGGATTTGTAAGTCACCCCAAGTCCTTGGATCTCTACCTCTATTTGACCACAACCAGAGGGCACTAGTTTGAAAAACAAAGAGGGGGAACATTTTTAACAAGCTACTTATACTGATAGATCCCCTTCATGTGATGGAGGACCGTCCTGCTGGTGAAACCATTATGGTTTTGTGCTTTTTATTGTCCGTTCTGGTACCTAATTCCTTCACTAGTAAACAGGAGAAAGGGCTCCCTTCTATAAATAACACACAGGTTATTGCTCACCGGGGGGCGCTAGCAGCCTTAAACCAGCAGAGATGAAACCAAACATGGGGAAGCAGCTGGGAGTCGAGAGAAATGGGAAAGGGATCCAGGCGTGAGGGACTGGTGTGACGAGATCTAACTGGAAATGAACTGGAGACACTGGAACTTATAGAGGTAATAGCTCAGCTCAACCAGAACTACTGGTGAGTTTCTCAGACTCAGATCTCACACGGTTATTGCCGAGGCTGTAAAGGAGGTCTATGAATGATGAGGAGATACATTGACAGATGGGAACGGCCACGTTCCTCACAATGCTTCTCAGTGCAGAGAACTGCGCAGTTCCTGGCGTCCAGGTCAGTAATTCTGCATGTTCTGTACTATATCTGAATGCCAGGTTTACTAATAGACTAACTGTAGTCTTTCAGCTCATCAGTCTAGCTTAAAATGCATTGCGTATCCATCCGTCCATCCGTCCATCAATATTCATGAGCGCTTATGCGGTACAGGGATCACGGAGAGCCTGGAGCCCACCCTAGCTGGGACACGGCACAGAAGACGTGTATTGTTTGTCTTCTTGGGAAAAACACTGGTTTACCGTAGCTCAGATGTAGGTTGCGCTGCGTGACGAATGACTTCCCGATAAATAACTAAATAAACAAAACAACGACCAAAAGCAGGTGTGGAGAAGCATTGATTTTTTTTTGTTTGCAACATTAATCGAAGAAATCTAAAAAAAAAATCACATTAAACAATGTGCTACAGCACTGTAAGCTAAGGTACAATGTAGCATTTTATTGCAATGTTAGCGGAAAAATGGACCATTAATGTTAAGTACTTTTTTTTTTTGTGCTTTTTGTGCTCAGTTTCCCGGTCTGTGTGGGTCCACCGTAGAGAAGTCTGGGGAGCCTGTTTTTGTGTATTGCGTGTTTGCTATGTTTGCATGCTGTGTTGGTTCTTTAGGGAGGGGAATCCCCAGGTCAGGCCTCCCCAGGTCAGGCCTCCCCAGGTCAGGCCTCCCCAGGTCAGGGATCCCCAGGTCAGGCCTCCCCAGGTCAGGCCTCCTCACCTGAAACATGAACTCCACAGGGTCTGCGGCCTTCTTTAGGAGTTGGGCCACCTCGTCCATGGGGCTGTAATACTGCAGCTGGACCTTGGCTCCAAGCAGGACGCCCCCACTGCAGACGCCCAAAGTAACCGCCCCCGCCGGGAAGTCTGTCCGACAGTTACAGCACCGTAATGTTCATCTTGTGGAGTTACTGGCCCTTTTATGCGAATTTACTGCAGATTTTTTGTGGGTGGAGTTCCTCTCCTCTCACCTGGGGCTTTCACCTGGAGCGTGTGCTTGTTCCAGGTCACCGGCTTCACCGTCACCGTCGCCCCCTGCTGGAACTCCACCTCCATGTCTGGGGTTGACTCGGCATCTTTAAGCAGAACAGAGATGACCCCCGGATTCTATAACGCCAGATGGGGAGAAGGTGGGGTGGGGGAGAACAGGTGGAGTGACAACATTGGCTGGTGAGATACTGCTCACTGGGACAACTTGTGGACGGTGCATGTATAGCAACAAGTGAATGAATACTGCCCCAGTGCTGTGAGAGGCGATGTGCTTACTCCGCCTCTTGGCTTTCCATCCGCATATATGCATCTGCACTGAATTTAGTACAGACTTTGGGAAGTATTATCTAATGTAGTGTTTCCCAATTTGGTCATTGGGGACCCACACACAGTCCATGTTTTTGCTCCCTTCCAGCTGAGGAAGCAAAAACATGGACTGGCTGTGGGTCTCCAAGGACTGGACTGGGAAACACTGACCTAATGAGTTGCTTGGAAATGAGTAAAAAAATGCAATCAATGGAGTCTTCTCAGTCTAAATAATTGAATAAATCCATTAATTAAAGCCTTAAAAAACTGGGGTTCCCTATCCGTGAGAGTGAAATGGAAACAGGTGCTTTTATTGTTTTTACACTTTTACGGAAAGCGTGCATCTGGAGTTCTGCACTGGCTGTTGTTGTGTACTTGGTTTGTAAGTATATATATATAGAAAGCAGACCAGTAACACTGACACACTGGGCAGAGAAGCTGCAACCAATTACATTTTTACTCTCTCTTTCCCTGTCTCTCACTCTCTCTCTCTTCCCCCGTGTCTCCCTCTCTCTGTGTGCCTCTCTCTCTCCCTGTCTCTCTCTCTCTCTCTCTTCTCCCGTGTCTCCCTCTCTCTCTATCCCCCTCTCTCTCTCTCTCTCTCTCTCTCTATGCCCCCTATTCTCTCTGTTGTTGCCAGAGTACCACTAGCCCAGTGCTCAGGAAAGCTCTCCGGAACAAGCAGGCTAGCGGAGGCAGGGTGCCACATTATGGCCCAGGGGTGGGACACAGACAGGGGGGGTTGGGTCGACCCTTAGCATTGCCTCACTTGGCAGCCCTTCTGTGAAGAGGCATAAGCCCCAGGAGACCCAGTAAGGGGAAAGGGGGGGGGGGCTTCGTTCTGCTGACAGGCCATGTGTAACCCTGCATTCTGCCAGCATCAACTTCACCAAGAGGGGATTCAGACTATTTGGCAGCACCCATCCCCCCCCAATGCTTTCGGTGGCTTCTGTAGTCACGGCTCTGCATGACCACTGCGCACAGAAAGTCGGATCTGTCGCTCTTGGCTGCCGAATGTGAAACGGCCTCTTTCTAATCATTAACTATATGCACACGCCGCTGTCACACCGAAAAAGGGTAGCGGGGCGTTGGCGGCGTCCCAGAGGCTCGGGAGAGTAGCGGGGCTGCCTGACACCTCCTGGCCGGGACGTTTCAATCTCGCCCTTTCCCTACATGTGCTTATAAGCACATCCTGCGCTGTGTGGGTCGCTGAGGGCGGGGTAAGCGGTGGCTCCATGGTGCGTGAGAGGGTGTGCTGTGAAGGGGCAGGAATCCCAGATGGGGTCTTCCCCGTTTTTTTTGTCCTGTGCTTCCTGGAATGGGCTCAAGCAAACCCCCACATAATGCTGCATTGCATAAGCAGTGGAAGATGGATGGGTGATTTGTTTGTTTGATGTTTGTTATTGTTATTAGTATTATAATAGAGTTACCAAAGGGCTGGAGTTTGGAAGGAAACGTGTTTGTCACTTGGTTCTAGAATGTTTGTGATAAAAATACATTAAAAATTTCAGGTAAATGAACTTTAAACACATTTCATTTGCGATTTTAATCACCCCAAAAATGAAAACTCTTTACTGTTTTCTTTTACTTTGAAACTTGTCCAGCTTGAAGTAGACGTATATTCGAAGCGTGAAGTTCTCGCATAAAAGCCGACTGTTTCAGAGATGCAGCTGCCCACAGGCATGTTCCTCAGACGTTACCCTACGCTGCTCCCAGCTGTGGAGGAGGGCTCAGTAATGCCTTCTCTGTAATTTTCCAGTACTGTTGTACATTTACCGTCTTACTCTGAATGTAGCTTGACAGTAATGTGTAGTAACAATATTAGCGCTCTGAAAAATGAAGCCATGCACCGGCATCCTGCAAGCCTCTGATTTTGAGCAGGACTCTCTGCCTTTCTGCTGGCACCTCGCAGGTCTTGGGTCTGCTTGATGGAGCAGGTCCTTCTTTGACAGGAGATCAGGAGATGTGGCGTGACTTTTCAGGATCTGGGTGATTGGCCTCTGAATGCAGGACTGCATGGTCTTTTTGAGGAGATTTATGAGCCTGACGGACTTTCCTTGGCCCAATTAACATGTTTCTCATTCCCCAAGTGGTTCACAGAGGCAGTATTGACCACTGGAAGACTAATGAGTTTCTGGGACGTAACAAACTCTGGGGTGTAGCAGTGGAGTGCCGAGGTCTATATCTCCATTTTGTGACACAAAATCTGTTATCGTGTAGCAATGCCTGCCATATGAAATCTGTGATGCCTTCCAGAGGCGCAGCCTCTTAAATCCATCCGCCCGCCCACCCGACCTCCTCACCTTACACGGCACCCGGGAGGGAACCACCTTGACAGCGATGTTGGGCAAAAGCCCCCCAGTTGACTGCTTCCTCTGCTGTGATGGCTTCAGTTTTGCGGGCTGTACCATCACCAAGCCGGGGTCCGGGTCCAGCGGAGGGCCTGAGGGGGCTGCAGGGGAAGGACGGTTCAGATGGGCTGTCATGTTTTCTTTTTCTCCAACGAAACACAATGCTCCAAAAGTTCAAAGCCCTGGCGTCTTAGAAGAGCTTCACTCCACCCCCCCCGCGTACCAATACTGCTGAATACTCAAAATACATAAAGAACGGGAATAAATAAATAGATTGTTTGTTGACACAATACATAATGTAATAATAGCAACATTGTTGTATAATTCAAACTTAAATAACTACAAATAACAATACTAATACTACTACTACTAATAATAATATCTCAAATAGCAGGTGCCTGGAAGATAACTCACATCTTTCATACAATATAACAAAAGATGCAGGACTTATAGATATATATATATATACTTGGTTAATGCATTCATGTGTTAGTGCACTGGTTAAGTCATAACACATTATTTTTTTGATTGCATGCACTTCAATTGCCTTAAATTTGATAAGCCAGTGGAAGAATAATATGATCCGAGATTTTTAATGGAATTTAATTTCTGCAGTGAATATACAGATAATAGTCTTTTTTTTCCAATGGTCTCGCAACATGACTCTATAGTTATATTAATGTAGCACATACTTTTGTCCCAATGTGACCCCAGAAGGAGCTCTCTTCTGAAGAGGGGCTTGAATCCTGGATCCTCTGATTAAGAGGATAATGGTCTACAAACTGAGCTATTCAGGCTCGTGTACGTCATTGTTAATGTGTGTGATTAATTGCAATAAAATTATTCGTTTGGCAGTCCTATTGACTGTTTTGTTGCAAATCTAACATTTCCTCCCCCCACATCACAACAGCACAGCACCCCTCCATCTGAGACAAAGTGAAATCGGCTAGTAACATGCCCCCCCCCACCCAGTCACCTATATCACCTGTAGGATTGACGGGCCCTGAAATATACACGCAGAGCTGGGTAAATCACAAGATCAACAAAGTAATAAAGTGCAAAGACAAATATAACGAAAGCTTTGTGTGCGCATGGGCAGGGTGCGGGAAGCATTGCGATTTGCATGCTTCATGATTAATGGTAACTGTGGCCTATGTATAGAAATGTGCAGATATTTGCACACGATACGCAGGTTTCACGTAGGTTTGCATAAAAGCCGGAAAAGCGTGTAAGCAAAGAGATCAAGGAAGATATTGCTCTTAGTGAATAATGATTTTCTGTACATGCAAAACAGCAGCGCGAAATAACTCAATGACTTAAAAGTGCCACCTTGATTGAACCATTCCTGTAGAGTTCCTAGACACCTTCCAACAGCAACAATAAATTCTAGTTTCAAAGCTAACTACTCACAAATAGCATCTCCTGCCAATAGGTAAACTAATTATAAAGTTATTGTGATTTCAGGTATATGTTTTATAATTTATGCACATCATTAGATACGGCCCGTATAGCTTATTTGAGAGCCTCGTGAATCATTCCTTCCTGACCGGCGATTTTACGATAAATTTGGCGGGAAGTTTATTGCTGCGTCTCCAGCTAAGGATCCCCTGAAACCCTATAATGATCATCCCACAATCGAATTTAAAAAACAGAACGGACTGCTTATCCAAAGCATAAATTTACCCAGTGAATCGATAGCAAGTATGCCCCACGGCAGCGCGGCTTTCGAGTTCGATTGCCAATTGAATGAACTTCCCATAAGTTTGTGTAGTTTTAAAGGAAGCTTTTTAAGTGCAAGACTGCTCTGTTTTTTATATTTCTTCAACATGATATTTTTCTCTTCACTAGATCTGTCTAAGCTGCTCTCTTCAAGCAATGTTTTAAAAGTCTGTGATCCTACAGCGACTCATCTTGATGCTACAGTAAAAGGGGCTTTTGTGACCTTAGCCTTTGTTCCAATCCAGTAGATTTAGTTCATTTCAGCCCATCACACTGTAGGTATAACCTTCACTGAATTAATTCAGGGCATTTTTTAGTGTTGTGATGTCACTTCCTGTGTTTATTTTTTAATACAAATCCCTTAATATCAGGCTGAGAATCAGAGCATTCTCCTGTCAAAACTGTCAAAATAGGCTATGAATAAAGGTACCTTGACATGTGCTCCTTTCCATGCAATGGGACTGTAATTTCTGATTCACGTGTATCACGCTAAGTTACCATTTAGCTTTATGACTGCAGTAATAGTCCGTCGGGCCCAGGGCAGAGATAATGAGGTCCCCCCAAGCTGGTAACTGCCCCGCTTGGGGTTACTCTGGACCCCTGTGGCTCTATAATTATAGCTCTTGGGGGCAGAAAATCTGATCACAATATACAAACGCTTAAATAATTTACCATGTCAATTATTGTTCACCTGCTGCGACAATATATCTTGCACCCTTTTTTTTTCAGGGTGTGAGCGATATCTTTCAGCTAAAATGGACAAATCTTAATTGAATGAGGATTGTTTTGGTATGATGAAGGAACAATGCTGACCGAATATAGTTCATGTTTTTTCTTTTCTAACTCAAGTTCAGCACTCCTTTATGCTTTGTACTATCCAAAGACTATTACACAGCCTAAAGAATTTAAATTTGATTATTACATGACCTAAAAAAAGTTAATTTGACTATTATACGGCCTAAAATTTTTTTAATTCATCCAGTAATTAAGTTAATTTCACTTACATATATCAAAACTCATACAATTTAACGCTTGAATTAATATTTATTAATTTTCGTCATATCAATAAAATAATGAAAATCCATATTTATTTGTCCATCATGTAAACAGTGAAGCTAGTGCAGACATCAGTGGATCATTGCTGCTTTCAATTTGTAGAGATTGCAGAACTTTATTCAATTGTTGTTCCAGTTACTTATTTATTAACTTTTTACTTTTTTACTTTTTTAATCATCCAGTGTATGACATTTGTAACATTCTTTGAAAGTTTATCAACATTACCGCCAATATTCCTGTAGCAATTTTTAAATCGTAATGCCAAAAATGCGAGGAGTTTCCACAGTTTTGGCCCCTAGTCTAAGTTGTAGTTCAGACAGGATTTAAGGAAGTACATTTGAAAACAAATACATTAAATACATCAGTTCTGTGCACTTCAACAGACAATTCTAAACTTCTTCACAGAAAAACAATCTCTGACTGTTTAACCAACTTTATAATTAGTCACCTGTGGAATCCGGGGGGGGTGGTGGGTGGGGGGGCTACCGGTAATCCCACCCCCTATTTCCGTCATCGCTAGCCCCCAGTTTGTGGCTGGCACTGACTAATTATCTCCTCCCTTTCACAGTTTAACAGCCATTAGTACTTTAAATGATTTTATCATTCAACTTTAGTCTAATTAACTTTCCAGTTAGATTTGGAACTGGGGGTGGGGCTGGGGGGGGGGTGCTTTCCTTACACTACACTTCATCATCGCTATCACAGGCTGGTCTGACTCAACAGATAATAGAGCCTTAGGGGGAAACAGACCTATGAAATTCTATTAGTGTGAAAGGCTGTTTATTCCTTGGCAGTTACATCAATGCTGCTCTGGCACCGGGATTGATCGGCGCCTCTGTTAGAAATGGAGTTTAATTGTTTGAATTATTACGCAAGTTCCAGCATGGTTCACTGTCTCCTTCAGGGCAAATGTCGCCCCTGGAGAAGTTTCGCAGAAGTAAGACAGCAGGTCCAGCTCGGGACAGATACTGTACCTTCACCACTTCGTTTGAATCGGTTAGCATAAAAAATGTAGGAAAAACTGCAGATTCAGGTGTGTGAAAATATCTGGTCGGGCTTACAGGGAAAAGAGGATAGTAGCATAAAATATACTATGTGAAGAGGCGGGGAGTCGGGGCGACACCAGCAAAAGCTTTTGGGATTATCCTCTGGATGACCAAGACCGCAGACAATGCCTGAGCCCCATTGTTAGCTGAAAGAAGCCAGCACAGCTAGACTGTGGCGCGTTCCTGCAGACATCAGAGATGATGCCCGCTAATTCCTCTCTCTGCACAAAGCGATACAGCCCCAGTGTCTCGCCTCGGATCTCTGGATTACACATCACGTGCCTCTCGAGTTCTGTCGGACTCGGCAGTACATCTCATGCTGTGAGAGGCAATACGGTTTGTATAACATCCATCCATCTTCCTCGTGCACAGTGGAGTTGCCCATGGCGTATCCCAGCGAGCACTGAGGTGTTGAGCGGTGTTGGCAGAATAGTAGAACTGATATCACATCCCTCAACCTGAATTCTCAAAGATTAATCGAAAGATTCGTCTGACGTGGGCATGAAGGGGTGGCTGTGGACCAGTGATGCCGATTCAGTGGGACGGTTTGGTTACAGCAAAGGCTAATGGCTAAACTTAGCACATGTAATATGTGATTGTTATCAGGAATCGACCGCTGCCACATTGGGAATCCCCACATAATGCTCACTGCGACTGACACTACACTGCAGTCACATCCAAATCCACATCCCCCACCTTTCTCACACTCAACACTACGCCAACATAACACTTCTACTCAAAGCTAAAACTTGTACTGAACTAGGCTCTAATTTTTCACTATTCCTCTGCTTGGCCTCATAATAACATTTGCCTGGAGGGGTGGAAGGGAGGGGGTGCCCCCTCACAACAACGACAGAACACCACAACACATTACAATAACTCAACACAGAGATTACAGTCACTACAGTAACTCAACACATAGATTACAGTCACTACAGTAACTCAACACATAGATTACAGTCACTACAATCACTCAACACATAGATTACAGTCACTACAGTAACTCAAACACATAGATTACAGTCACTACAGTAACTCAAACACATAGATTACAGTCACTACAATCACTCAACAACCAATACTCCAAACAAACTGCCCAGAAACACAGTCCCACACTTTCAATTTACCTTTATATAGCGCCTTTCACAACAGTGTCGCCCAGAAGCACTCCACAAGAGTACGTAGCAATCCATTACTACATCATGGATGCAAAATGGTGCATGAGACAGGGAAGATGGAATGAAAGAATGCAGGAAGACAACACAGGAGAGGAACCAAAAGACTCACAAGAAGGGAGAAGCATGACCCAATGTCACATGACCCGGCACAGTACCTCTCTGTATGATCTTCATGACGGCAGCCAGGTAGTCCTGTGCATCCTGCTCGCTGGAGATCTGCAGGAAGCCCTCCCGCAGTGGTACAGCCTCCAGAAGCCGGGCCGGCGTCTCCACGCCGCACAGCAGTACCACAACGTGGTTCACCGGGTGCAGCACGCGCGCCAGGAAGGAGCGGCGGGCCAGACACAGGTTCTCCAGCATGCCGCGGGACAGGATGAGCAGCTTACACTTGTAGCCGCCGGGCTGCAGGCGCTCGTCCCTCTTGCTGGTCACCGTGGTGATGTCATAGCGACAGATGCTGGTCTCGGCGATGGAGCCCGTGAAGATGGAGCCCAGGTAGGATGCCCACTCCTCAGCCTCAGTCTCGTAGATGATCAGGAGATCCCCCTCTGTGGAGAGACCTGCTGAGTTTCTGCTCCCCTGGTGTCGACTACAGTACCAGTCAAAAATCTGGACATACTTGTTTGCGTTTTAGCAAACCAGCCATGGGGCAATAAAATAATACATATCAAATATCGTAATGATATCAAAGAAAAGTGTTCATCATCTCAAAATTTTCTCAAAGTTTACACTCTTCAATAGCCCCCTTTTGCTTTGATGACAGGGTTGCAGACTCTTGGCATTCTCTCGATAAGCTTCCCCAGATTCTGGGCACAAGTTGCCCCTGCTCTTACTCTTCAATCAAACTCATCCCAAAGCTTTACGTTGGGGGATCGCGGGGGCCAGGTCATCCGCTGCAGCACTCCATCTGTTTCCTGGTTCACAAGATAATACTCACTGCATAACTTTGAGTTGTGCTTAAGGTCGATATCTTATTGAGCGACAAATGTTTTTCAGTAGGTGCGTCCAGACTTGTGAATGGAACTATACGCTCCAAAAATGTAGTCAGGATTCTTTTTTTATCACAGCTCACAATACAAGTACATGGCTGCTATGACAAAGTCATTTATCTCTCTGGTTCATTTAAAATAGTTAACTCCTTGAATGGGGGCCAAACCATCGAACACCATCCAAGACTTGGGTTTAATCATCGATTGTACTAGATACATCATAATTATGTGCCTCCTAAACTCATCATATAAAATTTAAAGTATAACGCATTAATTTTCCGTCTAGTCAGAGTCAGCGTGTTCACTGTGTACATAAAATTAAAGAGAAACTTTTTACGTTAAGAGTTGCTCTGAAGTTTAATTATGAAACAGACATTAAAAATTTGCCAGTTAAGAGATAAGCCTCGGCTGATTTTCGAGCCTTAATTAAAAGCATTCGGAGAAATTAAAAGAAATCAGTGTTTTGAAAAGTATTGAGAAGGAGGTAGGAAGTGGAGAATTAGTAAATAATGCGAGGGACTCCACATGAACATCTGTATCGTTATTCTGGGGTGGGGGGGGGGGGGGGGGACAAAGGAAGAGTCTCCAAATTGGAGAGTGAGGAACAGAAAGGGACCACTGACCTGTGCCACCCATCTTTCCTCGTCGCTGCTATGCTGCGATCTTCTCCCCCCTGTATCAGGAAGCACCACTCTGAGCACATACAGCTGCTACCCTGCAAGCTAATGAAGCGCGTTGAGTTTCCCCGCGTTGCGATTGGATGAGGTCGGTATCTCCAGGTGACCCGAGGGAACATGGCCACCCCATCGCTAATAATGGCTCTTCCGTTCAGGGTGGGAGGTGACGCGCTTCCATTCGGAGTCTGCCCCTCCCCCCATTGCCACTTTCTTGATAGAACACATTCGGTGGGCAGCGACGAGGACATCTGGGTGCCACCGACGGTGACTCTTCAGCGCGACATATGTCCACGTGGGTGTAGGGTCTCGCATGGGCGAAAAAAATGAAGAAGTGCAGACCTCAGAGTCGAACTGGCTTTTCTTTGGTGCGTCTGTGAGATTCAGTGCACGGATGAAGAGGTTTCTAGATCGGCGGACGCAGCTGGCGGGCCGTACCTGTTGGTACGTCTCATCGTCCAATCACGGCTCAGGGGACGCGTTGACACGCGGCCACAGCGCTTGTGCGCTTTACATAAGGCTTTTGTTGGAGGGTAAAAACAAAGCAATGTTGTGACATGCAACCACAAGGTGGAGAGGACTTGGCTGCAAGCCCAGCCCTGGATGTTCTGATTCCCTAGGTGAGATTCTGCTTACCCCCCCCCCCCCCCCCCCCC